GTAAACGGTATCCTCTGTGTACTGTGTAACTTATGATCACAAAGAGATGATATTTTAGTCTGTTGTTTCACTGGGAGGATACCTTACTGTCTTTGTACATCCTTAAATTTATGCTTATAATTTACAAATTATATTGACTAGAGATTAGTAACTTTTCTATAGGAGTTCAGGTAACTCTAAACAATATATGACAGATGACACATATTCTATACCTTTAGGGAAACGGGTGAGTGTAAAATTACATAAGTCTCATCTTGTTGGCCTTGTGAAAATGGGCAAAATTTGACACATGGGCCATAGTTTAGATGAAGGGCTTTATTATGTATTTCCTGACATTTGTAATAATTTTGCTAACAGAAATTAGACTTAAGAAACACATTTTTAAAATTATCACATTTTGAAATAATTGCCATTTAAAGAATAATTTGTAAGAAATATGTTGTGTAGTACTCCATTGTGTAAATGTACCATATTTTCCTTATCCATTCTTTGGTTGAGAGGCATCTAGGTTGTTTCTAGGTTCTGGCTATGACAAATAATGCTGCTATGACCATAGTTGAGCACATGTCCTTGTGGTACTAAACAGCAGAAAAAATTAATGACATCTTCAAATTTGCAGGCAAATGGATGGAGCTAGAAAACATCATCTTGAGTGAGGTAACCCAGACCTAGAAAGACAATTATCATATGTACTCACTCATAAGTGGTTTTTAAACATAAAGTGAAGAAAACCAGCCTACAATTCTCAATCCCAGAGAACCTAGACAACAATGAGGACCCTAAGAGAGACATACATAGATCTAATCTACATGGGAAGTATAAAAAGACAAGATCTCCTGGGTAAATTGGGAGCATGGGGACCTTGGAGGAGGCTTGAAAGGGAGGGTAAAATGTATAGCTCAATAACATCAATTTAAAAAAAGAAATAAGTGATATTTTAAAAAGTCTTATGGCTAACCTAAGCTATATTTAAAAATTATTTTAAATGAGATGGATTCTGTTGGCTTTTATTTATTTATTTATTTATTTTTTCCATCTCATGTCTATCTCCTCTTTTTTAATTTATTTTTTATTGAAAAATTTCCACCTCTTTTCCTCCTCCCACTTTCCTCCCCTCCTCCTACCTCTCTCCCCTTCCCTCTCCAGTCCAAGGAGCAGTCAGGGTTTCCTACCCTATAGGAAGTCCAAGGTCCTCCATCACCAAGGTCAGTTGGACTGGAACTGATGGAGCATGTGATCTGTTGGCTTTTAAAATGGAAAATTAGGGTCCATATAGGTGACTCTGGCTAAGAAACTGCTCTACTCTTGTAGAAGACAGGTTTGATTTCCATCACCTATGTCAGGTGACTCCTAACTGCCTGTAGCCCTAGCTCCAGAAGATATGATTAGATATTCTCTTCTGGACTCTAAGATACCTGAAGTCAGACTTGTACATCTGTCCCCAATATAATTATAATTTAAAATAAATATTTCTAAGATTAAGAGTCAAAATGATAGCAAAATGACTTGCTGGAAATTATGTAGTTGCTAGAGAAACTTTTAGACATTTCGAGTCAGGAAATATAGCAGGTATTATGGCACTGAATTTAAATCATTCAGGTTACAAATATAGTCATTCCTTTCTACAAATATTTATCCAGAGCCTATTTCCAGGTAATGTTCTATGTTGTGGAGTAATAGGGTAAGAAGATGTGATCTCTTCACTCTAGAACTTATGAAATGAGATATTTAATAAGATACTCTTTCTTTCCTTTTGTTTTCTTTCTTTTTTTCAAGACAAGGTTTCATACTAGCCCAGGGCCTTTGGAACTTACTGTGTAGCCCAGGTTGGCATTGAATTCACAGTAAACTTATCTCAAGTGTGCTAAGCTTACTAGTATGGGCCAACATACCTACTTATTTAGTATTTTCTGATAGAAAAATATGGGAGTTACTATGAGACTGAATTTAGTCTATGTAGAAGAAGGAGAAAGTGTGACTTCACAACTTGGTTCAGATGAACTGACATGCAGAGAATAGGCAACTAAAGTAGTAAAGATTCTAAAGACTATATATATTTTTGATTTTTTTTGCCTTGAGTATATGTTATTAGCAAATTCATTTCACAGCAAAGCTTCATAACTGCTTTTAAAGACCTGACTAAGGAAATAGCTTGGAAGTTGTATGTATTTGTGTTCTTAAGTGTCTCTTTTTAGATTTTCAGATAAGTTTTTCAGATTGATTTCAAACAAAATAGCTCCCTTTAAAGCTTATCCCAAAGCAATGGCCATGGCTGGATGGGCTGTGCCTGTCAAAGGACCAGGAATTTAGAATAGAATCCATGTAGGAATATAGTATCATTAGAAATCTGGAAAGAATATAGACAAGTTATTTGAGTATTTTAGGTACTATCTAGCTTCTTATAATAGTCTCGACTGTGGCCTTAAGTCTAAAAGTTTAAAGACATAAGTGTGGGTCAACAAGATGGTGTGGCAGGTAAAGGTGCTTGCTTCCAAGCCTAATGACCTGAGTTCTGTCCCTGAGACCCATGTAGTAGAAGGAGAGAACTTACAAGTTGTCCTAAAGACTTACACATGTTAGCTGTTGTAGCATGAGCCTTGTTAATTCAATGTAATAAAAAAATTGGAAATAGATAAATATCTACTGTAGCTATTAGTTAACTACGGAAGGAGTTTTTATTTCTTTATTTAAAAAATTTTATTTTTCCATTCAACTATTTACACTTCCTTCCCTCCTCCCAATCCCCTCCCTCTCTTGCCCTGCTTGAGAGAGGGCCAGGAATCCTGCCCTGTGGGAAGTCCAAGGCCCTCCCCCCTACATCCATGCCTAGGGAGCTGTGCATCCATATAGACTAGGATCCCAAAAAGCCAGAACATGCTGTAAAAACAAGTCCCAGTGCCTTTATCAATGGCTTCTCAGTCAGCCCCCATTGTCAGCCACAATCAGAGGGTCCGGTTTGATCACATGCTCATTCAGACCTGGTCCAGCTGGATTTGGTGAGCTCCCATTAGAACAGGCACACTGCCTCAGTTGGTGGACCAACCCCTTGCAGTCCTGACTTCCTTGCTCCTCTTCTCCCTCCTTCTGCCTTTCAACTGGACCTTGGGAGCTCAGTCCGTTGCTCTGATGAGGGTCTCTGTCTCTATCTCCATCCATCACCGGACCAAGATTCTATGGTGATATTCGAGATAATCATTAGCACGATAGTAGGGCAAGGACAGATCAGGCACCCTCTGCACTGCTGTCCAAGGACCTAGCTGGGGACATCCCATGGACACCTGGGATCCCCTCTAGAGCCAAGTCTCTTGCCAACCCTAAATGGATCCCTTGCTGTAGTTATCTTCTTCCCTGCTCCTATATCCACCCTTCCTCCATCTCCACACTCCCATTCCCCCAGGCTCTTGCCAGACCTTCCCTTTTAAAACCTCTCCATGCAACTGAATTCATTATTTTTGGTCATTTGGTTTTGAGACAGGGTCTCACTATGTATCCCTGTCTGTCCTTGATCTTTCTGTGTAGACCAGATTGGCTTTGAACTAATAGAGAGCCACTTGCCTCTGCTGCTATTTAAGCTTCTGGCTATATGACTTTGGCTTGTTTGGCACTTCATATAAGTAGAATTATAAAGTGTTTTTCTTTTTGTTAGTCTCCTATTTCACTTAAAATCATCAATTTAGGGTTCATCTATTTTGTAATATGTGTCAGGATTGTTTCTTTTTTAAGGCTGAATAACATTCCATTGTGTACATATACTACGCTGTTATTTATATAACTACTGACATGTACTTAGGTTGCTTCATCTTCCCGTTTTGAATACTGTTGCTCTGATCATTCAGTACACAGTGATGTCTTTGAGACTCTGCTTTCAGTTTTTTTGGTTTCACAACCAGAAGTACAATTATATATAATATGCTAATTCTACATTATTTTTTTTAAGTAGCAGCTTGATTTATATGACATCTTGCTGTTTTACATACTTATCAGCACTATACAGGTTACTCGTATCTGCAGCTATGATGGAATTGTGTTTGTAAGAAAACAAATTCTAGGATATGTTCTGAGGTGTGCTGTAAATTGAGCCTGTATTTTTGTGATTTTTTAAATAATCTTTCATTGAATAACTTAATATATCAGAAGTAGCTAAATGCTGATAATCTCACTTTGTAGACCTTCCTAGCTTAGAATTTGCTGTGTAGCACAGGCTGGCCTGAAAGCCATAGCAGTTCTCCTGCCTCAACTTCTCAAGCATCTGTGTATGAAAGGAATATGAAATTAATGTGTTCTATAACATGCTTATTAAGATAGTAACTTATTTTCAGAAAACAGCATTAAAAGACAGCATATCTTCTTAGTCTTAACTATTATGCAAATGTTTTAAAGTTTTAGCTCTTTTTCCTAGGTTACTTAGTAAGATATAATTTACAATTTCTTATCAGTAATATGAGAACAAAGATGAGTTTAATAAAAACATTTCTAAAGTATTAAACCTGTAAAAATTTTCTCTAGAAAGCCTTTTAGAGAACTTTTAATCTTAGACACTTTTGAGCAATAATTTGATTGTAATAAATATCAGTTGCTACATAACACTTTACTGTCAATTTACAGATTAAACAAAGATATATTTATTATCACACAGTTTGTATGAGCCAGAATATGGACATGATTCAACTAAGTCTTCTGCTTAGTCATACAAACCTGTAGTCAAGGTTTCGGCTCTTCTGCATTCTTATCTGGAGGCTTCACTGGGGAAGGTCTACTTTTAAACTCTCAAAGATTTTTGGCATGGTTCTTTTCTGAGTATTATTAACTGGAAGCTTCCCTCAAGTTGCTTAGTACTGCAAGAAGATGGCTACAGTCCTTTGTTTTGTGGGTTTTCAACATAACCACTTAGTTCAATGAAGACAATAAGGAGAACTTCTAGACTTTTTTATTTGGCATAATGTAATCATATAAATGAAATTCCATCACCTTTGTCATTGCTATTTTTCTTTGGAATTCAGCCACAGGATATGTTTGCCCCGAAGATGGCTGAGGTTATACAAGAACATGAACAGGAAGAGGTGGAGGACATGGGGGATTATCTCAGACTTTGTAAGACAACGGAGGTTGTACAAGAACATGAACCTGAAGAGGTGAGGATCATGGGGGATTATCTCAGAGTTTGTTTGCTGCATTGAATCACTTGGAAGTTTCTCACTTGATGTTATCAAGAATTTGACTCAATATACAGACATAGATCATTATTCTAGATATTGCAAAAGTACCTTTAAATTTCAATGTAATTTGTTCTAGTTTTAAGAGAAGGAGGAGGTAGAGGGGGAAGAAGGGGGGGAAGTAATAATAATAATAATAATCACAATAATAATTGACCTTTTCCAGAAGCTGTCAGTATCCAACATATAGTAATGAAGTTTATTTGAGAACAAAATTTTTTTAGAATATCAAATTCTTAAGTATTTTTTTTTAACATTGTATACTATACATACAGTCATTTTGCTTGCTAGGTATATTTTGGGTGATCCTGGAAAATACTAGTATGTAATAATACTATAATATTTGTTGTGAAGACTGATGGCTTATATATGTTTTATTAATGAAATTATTAACTTACATTACCTATTACTTCTTACATTGTCATTAGCCTCTTCCTGATTTGTATATTTTTATTTTCTTGATGTTTCCAGGCTGTTTGAAAGTGCTTAAATTCTTTTCTGAGAAAATTAAAATAATTGAAAAGTACTCTTTATTACACTCATGAGATCTGTTCATTTAGGTTTTGGGCCCTTTAATTCTTTTGTTGTCTTGAGAGAGGATCTTGTTGCATAAACCAGAGTGACCTTGATCTTACAATCCTCCTCTCAGTTTCTCAAGTGCTTTGATTATAGGTAGCAGGCTGGACTTCCATTTCACACTTAATGGGGGCAAAATATGTCGTTTATCTTATCAAATTAGAGGTTATATTTTTAAATAAAATTTTATTTTCTTAGATCATTTTGGACATATTTTTGTTTTCACATGAGTGAAAAATGATTTGGATTTTAGTAAGCATCAGTGAATTCTGTGGTATTCCATAGACTGATATTCTTATATTGAAAACCTGTTCTTTGAAGATTGATAAAGTAGGAAAAATTAAGTGTTTTGTTTGTGACGGGGATGATTCCCAGGATGCCATGATGTTTTTTGATTCATTCCATTTCATTTTATTTCTAGTTTCTCCAGACTAAGAGCTTCATGATAAATTAGTCATAAGATGGTATGGCTAGTATGCAAGCAGTAGCTAGGTAACAGAGGGAAGTCAAAGTCTCAGTCCTTTTTATACATAACTTTTATGTATAGACAAATATGAGAATCACTTGATTGTAAAATTTTACCTATCAGGATGCTATCTTCCTGGGTTTTGGATTATTTGTTCAAAGTTGATTGTTAATGACAAATTTATAGCTTGTGTTTTTAAATAGCACATGCCCCAATCTGTTGAGGTAAGGTATAAGATAGTGCTGTCATATTCAGAGATTAGAAACTCTGGGTGAAGAGGTGATATGGGATGGCTCCCTGATTAATTTATATTGGTTAGTTTTTCTTTGTTCTTTTTCAGTTTGCTTTTTTTTTTCAGCATTGCATTCTTAGAGCTGTCCTTTCAATAATGACCACTTAGGAATTGGCTTCTTGAGTTGACAAAATGTGTGGAAAGAGTCCTCTGATCTGTCAGAGGTGTTAGTGGTTCTTCCTTTTGGTTGATATGTGATCTTTTATTGCTTGTCCAGGACTGGTTGAAAGACAAGATGATTGTGTCCAATTTATGGCATTTACTACTAAAGCTGCTCTGTCAAATGCACATACCTTTGCTCACATGTGCCTAGATAAATGTTCTTGCACTGTTTACTGGAATCTAATTTCTTACTCATGGTTAGTCTGAGTTTTGAGTATTAGTTAATCATTTTTCAAAGATGTTCTTGTGTTTTGGTGTTGTAGTTCCTACATGTACATGTACAGATTGATGTTGAAACCAGTACTTGAATTAGGTCAAGCCTAGAATCAAGAAATACCTCTATTGTAATTTCTTATAAATTATCCATTTTCCAGGAACTTTAATACTGTTTTTCTGGCCAGAAATAGGATTTTCTTTCAAAGCCCTAGTTCACATAGCTTTATAGTATTGTAGCTGTTCTCTTAGTGACAAAGGCAGCAAATAAAAAGGGATTATACCTGTACCTTTCTTAGCACAGGGGTCTCTTTTCCTGCTTCCTCTGGAGAGATGTTTTTCATTTGATTGGTTGTAGTAATATGAACAGCGGGGCTGTGTCCTGCCACCCGGCTAGCTTTACCCGAAATAATTACATGGAAACTGTATTCTTTTGAACACTGCCTGGCCCATTAGTTCCAGCCTCTTATTGGCTAGCTCTTACATATTGATTTAACCCATTTCTAATATTCTGTGTAGCACCATGAACTGGCTTACCAGGAAAGGTCTTACTTAACCTGCATCTGTCTGGAGCAGGAGAATCATGGCGACTGACTGACTCAGCTTCTTTCTCCTAGCATTCTGTTCTGTTTACTCCGCCTATCTAAATTCTACCCTATCAGAGGGCCAAGCAGTTTTCTTTATTACTTAACCAATGAAAGCAACAGATAAGATACAACATGCTGTTATGACAGTAATTGCGGTAGTTTCTGCTTGAGACCAGCTCAGTTCAGCATGGCGGAGCTGAGCCACTCCTGCCTCAGAGCCATTTGGTGCCCCTGAACCACACACAGTTCCAGGCACACAGCAGTCCACATTGCCATCAAGCAAGCTGTAGCACTTTACTCCAAATGCTCCATTTAAAAGCTCTGTCTCCTGCAGGAGCCAGACAGAGATCGCCATGGCGGCACAGCCTTTATAGCCGGCATTTTAAAACAGCCAGTTTTTTTTCTGCTGCTGAGTTAGGACAGTTTTTCTCTGCGGCACGCCACCCACAAACAGCAAAGAGCTGTGTTAAACTCTCTTTTTCTTATTTTTAAGCCTTTTTAGGTTTTTAAGTGGATTTAGTCCATTACGTCTGGGCGCCATTCTGTAGTAATATGAACGGCGGGGCTGTGTCCTGCCACCCGGCTAGCTTTACCCGAAATAATTACACGGAAACTGTATTCTTTTGAACACTGCCTGGCCCATTAGTTCCAGCCTCTTATTGGCTAGCTCTTACATATTGATTTAACCCATTTCTAATATTCTGTGTAGCACCACGAGCTGGCTTACCAGGAAAGATCTTAACCTGCATCTGTCTGGAGCAGGAGAATCATGGCGACTGACTGACTCAGCTTCTTTCTCCCAGCATTCTGTTCTGTCTACTCCGCCTATCTAAATTCTACCCTATCAGAGGGCCAAGTAGTTTTCTTTATTACTTAACAAATGAAAACAACAGATAAGATACAACACCCACCTCCATCAATTGGTCCTTGCCTTAGTGTGGTTGGATGTTGAAAAAGGAAAACTGGATAAGTTTAGAAAGCTTCCTTATGATAACTACCCCAGAAGTATATTCTTCTTGGAAGTTTTTTTTTTTTTTTTTTTTAATTTTCGAGACAGGGTTTCTCCGTAGCTTTTTGGTTCCTGTCCTGGAACTAGCTCTTGTAGACCAGACTGCCCTTGAACTCACAGAGATCCGCTTGCCTCTGCCTCCCGAGTGCTGGGATTAAAGGCATGCACCACTACCGCCCGGTGGGAAGTTTTTTTTTTTTTTTAGGCCTATAGTAGAGAGGATTCCATGATTCAGTCTCCCCACTGACCAAAGTCAGGAGATACAGGTAGAAAATAAACTCTGAATTGTTTATCAAATTTTGGTATCTTTCTCTATTGTTAGTGTTTACTTCCCAGAGTCCCAGGATAGTTTCTTTAGCATTCTAAATAGAATTTTTAGTTGATAATCAGGGAAATGGTAGACTTAGTGAACTTCTTCTATTTTAGGTGCCGGTGTCACTAGTAGTTTTATTTAATCCATCCTTCTTTCTGTCTATTCATCTAATTTTGCTTTTCTGTGATCTCTTACAAGTTGGCATTGGTTAAATTCCTTTTCATTTAGAACAACTTACTGTTATTTAATATGCAAACTCTGTAGATCAGTGAATGATCTTTATATACGTTTTCTGTAAAAGGCCAAACAATAAATATTTAACACCTTGTAGTTTCAGTATCTCTGTAGTTACAGTATTTCTGTCACACTATTTAACTTTGCTCTAATGTGAAAGCTATCATAGGTAGTGTGGAAACAAATGACTGTGACTGTATTTTAGTAGCATTTATTCAGGAAAAGGCAGCTAACCTGATTTGGCTTATGGATCATAGTTTGTAAACCCTTGATCAAAACCATCCATAATTACTTTTTTAAAATTAGTGCCTCAATACATGTAATTATCCCCAAAGCTTTGCATGTGAAAATGTTTCTATAGCTGCTTAAAGCTCTTGTAATTTAAGTTTTATTTCTGTATGGTATCTTATGAATTTAAAATTGAAGCATATGAGATTTTCCATTATTCATTCATATGAAATTGTTCCTATTGTAACATTCTTTGGCTATATCTAAGTTAGATTCTGGGAGATTTATTTGTATGTGTAAGGTCATTGGTCATGGCACAGCATTAAGAAGCATGTTGTGAAATGTAAAACTATGGAAAATTGAGGCTTTAAGAACAATATGTGAACTCAATTTATAAATTTCCTTTTCTATATAATTTCTGAGTACCCTTGACCTTTTGTTTTTCAGGAACTTGTTAGATTGTGAAGGGAAATGCCCAGTGTTATATTTTTCTTAGTTATTCTTGTTTCAATATCACTGAACTTCACATTTTGAAAAATGTTTTTCAGGTAAATGATCTTAAAATGGTTGATGAGCCAATGGAACAGGGAGAACCAGAATCTAGCCTGGTAAGTATCATGTTAATTTAGTAAACTCCATTTGTAGCATATAAAGAAAAAAATTATTGGAAAAGAGAAAAGTTTTATCAGTTACAGAAATATATTTTAATAAGTCTGTAATAAATGTAAAATTTTGAAATGGTTTCATGTGGTCCTAGCTGTTCTTAAACTTAGTGTAACTAAGGATATCTTGAATTCCTGATGCTTTAACTTCCACCTTCTGAGATCATAGGCATGTATCACCGTGCTTCATATCTAAAGTTTTAAAAATTTCATATGTTTTGTTTGTGCATGCACTAGGTATACACACGGGGCTCCATCCCTACCCTGTGGGTTTTTTTTTTTTTTGATGAAATTTAATCTTACTCTGTAGTTCATCTGTAGTTCAGGCTCACCTTAACATTTAACACTCCTCTTGCTTCGGCTTCACAAGTACTAGGATTACAGCTTTTAATCATAAAACCTGCCCAGTGTGTGACTTTAAAAAAAAACAGCTTTGTTGACAATATACAGGCCATAACAATCACCAATTTGAATATAAGAAACGGCATTTTTACTTTTTAGTATATAAGAAATGTAGTTATTTTAATGCAGTATCCCCTGGATTAAACTAAAAGAGATTATTTTCAACTTCAGAATATAAAGGAAAGCTATCTTTAACATAATGGGACTATAAAGATGGCTTGAAATATTTAAAATCCATATTTTAGCTTTTAGAAAGGATAGAATTTAAATTATTTCAGAAGACTTTAACTAGTTCTAAAGATTGTTTACCTATTTGGTCATTGTATTTAAGGCCTGTGTAAAAGACATAATCTATAAGATCTAGTTTTGTGAAAAATATTCTTAAGATTTTAGGAAAGATCAGACTAATATGGACATTTCTGTTAATGTTATGATTTCATAGTTGCTGTCTTTTTAGGTATTTTTATAGCTTTTTTTGTATTTAGAAGGAACTTCCAATGAATTATTTTGTTATTTTCTCTTCAGAGTATAGATTTGTTTTTTGAGATTTAGAGAGGTTATGGTTTTTAGCAGGTGGGTTAGACCAGCACATATTAGAATCTGTCTCCTGTTAGGTGATTGTCTTGTATAGATAAAAATACCATTCTTATGTAGTGTTGCAGATAGTTAGGAAATCCCTTAAAAACATATTCATCAGTAAATTTATCTCATATAGAAACTAGCAGAGGTATTTCAGTTGTGTTTAAGACTCATTTGAAATGTTCTTTGCTGCTAACTCAGTAGACAGTGACTTTGATACATACTTGCAGTTAGGGTTGACAAGAGAAATATGATGTCACTTTGACATTTGTAATTTGGTTAATATCAATAACATTTCAATTTTGATGATAATAAAATTTAAACTTTTATCAAGAACATCTAAAAATGTTCAGATGAACCTTAAAGGTTATAGTGATGCTTATTTTGTTCTTTTCCTAAAGGTATTATAAATATCTACAAAAGGGTTTATTTCTATTTTATAGATGAGTGAACCAAGACTGATGTAGTTAGAATAGATCAGCCTAAATAAAGATTAGTTTACTCTCATCCTTTGGTCTCGAGTCATCAACATGTAATCTTGTAGTTTTTGCAACTATTTTCCAATGTGTTCATTGTTTTGACGAATTTACCTAGTAGCACTTCATTATTTACATTATGGTTAGCCTTTTTCAAAGAACGTTACATTAATACTGGCGTGACTTTTAGTGACATTGCAACATTCTTTGCATGTTGTTCTGTCTCCATACTTGCTTTAACAAGTCTACAACAAAATGGCGTCTTTTTAAGTTTTATTTCTTTTTTAACTAAAATATCTTTTCTGCCTTAAAATAAAACAAATATTTGAACAGATTTCGCATTGTTATATTAACGTTAAAGTATTTATTCTTTAAATAGTGCCCCCCTTTTTGTTCTGGAGGCTAGTCTTATAATCTTGTGACTCTTCTGTATTTGAGGTATAATAGAATGCGACTGTCATCATCTCCTTTTCATTATAACAGTTCCCCATAAGCAAATCAGTTGTCAAATGAATGACGCAGTATTTGATTGTCTAGTGTTAAGCACTCTTGGCTTCCTTTATTTAAAACAAAAAATGATCATAATATAGAAGTTGTGGTTCAGCCTTCTTAATTTTTTCTTAATATTAAATATACTTTTGAGTTTTATAAAAGTACCTAACACTGTAGTCACATGTGTCTCAGATTTGTCATTTAATGTGGAAAATTCAGTGAACTCTGGAAGTTATTAAATTTTTATTTTACAGTACCAACTTCATTTTCACAGATAGGCACTGTCTATATTTTCTAGGACTGCCCTAACAAAGGACCACAGACTGAGTTTCCTACACAGCAAAAATTAATTTTCTCACAATTCTGGACTCTATTAAGTCTGCCATCAAGGTGTTGGCAAAATTGATTTTTCTGAGGTCTTTCTCCTGAGTTTGTAGATGGTCTATGGCTTCACATACCCCCTACCCCGTGTGTGTGTGTGTGTGGGGGGGGGTGTGTTTATTTGCACATGCTTTTTGTGTGTGTGTAAGATTATCAGCCATTTGGGATTACGTCATAGCCATATGATGTTATTTTTTTTTCTTAATAATTTCTTAAATGTCCCTAGTATAGTAATACTCAGTTCAACCACACTTGAGAGTGTATATCTGACTTTCTGTGTCATTGATATTATTTTAGCAGTCAAGAAGACTAGCTCATTGGGACCATTCTCTTGTCCTCTTTAGCCACAGCCACCATTGATTAATCAGAGAATTAAAGGAGCAATGGAATAAAGAACATTTGTCTTGAGATATTGTAGAACTCAAGCTTTGAGTGTATCAGTTTTGTTTTCTAGACAGTAATGGAGTTGAATCAGAGATTATACCTTCAGCTTTGCTATTTTGTAATAGGAAATCCATGAAGATTAAGAAAAAATATTAGTTACTGTGCTTTCCATACAGACTAGAATTACAACTCACTTGAGTATAGTTGTAACACCTGAGAGTTGTCATCTGTGATGGGGTAGAAATATTTCCAGGGAGGATTCCTTTCTTTCTAACATAGATAGTAGGATACTACTATTTATTTATATTTAAATTATTAATAAAAGTTCATGGCATGGGAACATTTTTGAGTTCTATAATTATTTTTGTGAGTTTGCTTTGCATTGATCTGGATACTAATATACTTAAGAATATAGTAAATTACTATTTAAAAGGACTTTTGAGATTTTATGTTTGCTTTCTCACAATTTGCAAGGTTTAATCTTTACTTTTTCTGTTTCTGTCTCATAAGTTGCACTTCTGTGAGGGGCTTAAGCATCTAAGTTCCTCAACTGACTGTTGTGTGTTCAACCCCAGTTGATACATCTACAACACATCTAAGACTGTACACCTAAGACTCAAAGAACATCATGGAAAATGTTTGGAAAGATCATAAGAGTCAGGGAATCATACTGGCTGATGGAAGATAGTGTTCTCTATATAGGACAGGGAAGCTGCACCCATGAAATCTCAACAGTAAGGTTGCATAAACAAGACCTAAACAGTGATAACACTAGTTGACATGCCATTATGGACGGTAGAAATCTCACAAGGACCCATCCCTAGAAGTGCTACAAACAATTAATGACTGTTGAGAGAGGAGAATAAGTCTAGCTCTCTTCCATGAGTTCCGTAATTGATTATTCAGTGCCAAGTCACCAATCCTAACAACATATGTACAATATGAACAATACTAGATAGACTCAGCAGGCTTACTTATATATTTATGTGTATATATGTGTAATAATAAACAGAGGGTATGAATTTGAGAGGAAGCGAATAGGAGGAGTTGGAGGAAGGATGAAGGAATTATGTAAATGCAGTAGTCATCTAAACATCAATAAAATACAATTAAAAATAAATCTTAGTTTTTAATATTGTGTTGTTATCTACTTATAACACTGTTGCATGAATTTATTTCACATGCTTTCATTTATATGAAATTATATATTAAGAGCTGGGCTTGGTGGCACATGAATGTAATCTCAGTATACAGAAGGCAGAGGCAAGAGAATTTTTTTTTTGAAATGGAACTAATCATATAATGTTGGAATTGCATATTAGTATTATTTGGATTATTTTGAAGGATGAAGATGTTAAAGAAATCCCTATTACACATCATGTGAAAGAAGGATATGAGAAAGCAGATCCTGCACAGTTTGACCTGCTCAAGGTTCTTGGTCAGGGGTCTTTTGGAAAGGTAATAAATACTTTTTCCTACATTTGCTTTTCTTTTTGATATTTAATAGAAATGTATAAACATGCATAAAAATGATTTCTATAGCTCTCAATGGATGTGAAAATGACTGTTTAGTTTTATGTTTTATTTCTGTTTTGATTTAGATTTTGTTATGATCATCAGTAGCAGTCAAGGTATCCTAATCCTCTGAGCTTATATTTCTCTAGGTTAAAACCACACCATGTTCATTGTTGGTTGTATAAATCACCTACTTGATTTTTATGAAGATATTTTAGATGTCCTTTTTTATGTTCACTGACATAACTGGCTATATCCTGGTGATGTTACCTCTGTTTCTAGCTCTGTATGAGATTTTAGAATTTATGCTGTAATTTATGTTTGAAATCAGGAGCTATCCTACCATTTCTTAAAGCAAAGTAGAACTAGCTTAGATGATTTGGAAATGATGTGAGATTCTTGCTTTGAAGAATTTTTTAGAAATATTAATTCATATATGGTATTTGTTTATTAAGTATTTGGTAATATGTTTCTCAGAAAGGAAGTATGTGGATCTGGATCCTGTAGATTGTATAACCAAAATCTAAGGCAGGAAAATTTTCTAATGCATATAGTAAGTGATAGCCTTTAGGAAAATGACTGCGATCATTATTTGTGGGGAGAAATATGGGAGAAACAAGATATCATAGTAGCTGAGATTTAGTTATAAAGTGGAAAATTAAGGCAATTGAGCAGTGATTAAGACATTTGTAAGGAAATATATTTACTGAGTATTCAGTGTGTGCACAGTAATTTAATAAAAAATATATTGCTGAGTATAAACTAGACAATTATTTGAATGTAGTCTGATATCTATATGTTATAGAATATATGAAATAAATAGAAATATTTTTAGGACATAAAAGACAAACTGAAATGGCTTATGGGATAATCTTGGTTATCAACTTGAAACACCTGGAAAAGAGGGAATCTCAGTTGAAGCACCTCATTCATCAATTTGGTCCATGGGCATGTTTGTAAAGTATTATCTTAATTGATGGTTGGTGTAGGAAGGCCCAGCACATTGGGTGGTACCTTCCTTGTGTATGTGAGTTTGGTCTGTGTAAAGAAGGTGGCTGAACAAAGCAGAGGAAGCTTGCCAGTGAGCAGCATTCCAACATGGTCTCTGCTTCAGTTCCTGCCTTGAGCTTCTGCCCTGGCTTCTCTCCATGATGGACTGCAATATTTAAGCCAAATAAACCCCTTAACACTCAAGTTGTTTTTTGTCATGGTGTTTGTCATAGTAGCAGAAAACCAAGTCAGACAGGGAGAAAACTTGAAGAGTAGGGTGGAAAGAAAAACCAGAAGGGCCTATTAATAGGTTGTTGGTAGAGGAGGTATTATAAAACTAACTTGTAAATTAGGTGTATATATTCTAGATAATTTTATTTTTAATGTTTCTGAGATATATATTAATCTAGAACAGAGAAGTTTTTATATCTCAAAGTATAAATGCTTAAATATTTGACAAATAAAATAACACAGAAGCATATGAAGTTATTAAAAGTTTTGTTACTTAATATATAATATATATTTATCTGTGCATTTATTTCTTGCTTTGTATCATAAAAGATTTAAGAATTCTATAGGTAAATAACAATCAAAATTGAAAGTAAGTAGCATAAGTTGGATATGGTATTATTTGCCTATAACCCTAGCACTTAGGTGACTGAATAAAAAGGATGCTTCTGAGGTTGAGGCTGGCTTGTGGGGGGGGGGGTACAGAGTGCTGTGAGTCTATCTTGGGTACATAATGAAACCCATTCTCAAACATTCCAAAATCAAAGGGAGGAGAAAAACACAACCCTAAAAGCAAGTGGCAATATGGATAGAAACAGAAAAATCAGAGCAGGAAAGATTAAGTAAAGCCTGGAATACACACTATTGTTTACAAATATATAACATAGGGCCTGGAACCCTTTCTTAAGCAATTCAGAAATGAGATTGATAGCGATCAGAAAGAAGCAGACCTATTCAAATGCATTAGCGTTGACAGTATCTTTAAGGCAGAAACATATTAAACCATATAAATTTTTTATTGCTTTTCATTAAAAATACTGTATAACAAAAGGAGTTTTTCTCAGTAACATATTCATATTAAATATAACAACAGGCTAACAAGTTGTTGTTGTGGTTCTTAAATTCAGGGAATACTGTGCAAAAAGTTTGGTTTAAAAAAAGTCATTGTTGAAGCTCCTTTTAAGTCCATAGTTGTAAGATACAAAATAGTGAGATTATGTAGTTCACCAAGCAAAGATATTATGAAGGTATCTTTTGTTTGGCTTCTTAGGATGTGAACATACTTGTTTGTCGGTATTGCATCATTTGTGTAGGCATTGTGTAGGTGTGACTTGTTATATGCTGATCATATTCAAGAATTTGGCCAAGGCTGTGAATCAGATACATGTAGGCCAAGTTCCAAGAAACTTCGGGCTGTACAATCTTACTTAAGTTTTTCATTTAAGGTTCCACTGTTAAAATATAAGCAATAGAACAGTTTTAGATGTTGTAAAGTTTTATGACATTAAATGTTTTATTCTATTTAATGGGAACAAAATCCTACTAATGTCAGAGTCATATAAAACTGTACATTAATGAAGCAAGGTTTAATGAAATGGAGTTTAACAGTTCAAAGAATGTTATGAAGCAGAATTGATTCATTTAGGAGGTAAACAAAATGGACAAATACTTAACCAAACTAACCAATAAAAATATAGAGAAGACCCAAATTGATAAAAGTAATAATGAAAGGGGGTAACAAACTACTCAAACTCATAAAACCATTAGGTAATGCTTTATAAACTTGTACTCATAAATTGAAAAATCCAGAAGAAATGGATAAATTGATTGATATGTAACTCATAAGAAATAAACCAAGATTATACAAACAGCGCATATATACCTATATCAGGAATGAGAAGCAGTACATTACCAAGTTAAGCAAAAAAGTCCAGGACCACATGAACTCCTCATGTTTTCATTCGTGTGATTATGTTTTCACTCATATGAAGAACATATATATATTTGTATATGTGTATTGTGTGCGTGCGTGTGTGTGTGTGTGTGTGTGTGTGCGCGCGCATATACAGAGAGAGAGACAGACAGAGAGAGAGAAAAGACAAGACAGTAGAGGGGGAGGAACAATTTCAAGAAATAGGGGAGTGTTGAAAAAGTGAGTAATAAAGGATATGTGACAAAATCAAATGAAGAGAACTGTTTGAGTGGAGTCTGTGGTCCAGCAAGAGGCAGGGGGTGTGGGAAAAATCAGAGTGGAAGTGAATAAGAATAAGACATCATGCTATGTATTATCATAATAAAACCTATTTATATACTGAGTAAAATTAGAAAAAAACAGTATCCCTATGAAAGACGTATGGAGAATTCTTTAGTGATCGTGTGAAGTATACTGCTACTAATGACTACTAATGAAAGGTAGCACACATGAATATTTCATTTTTAAAACAAAAATATAAAAATTTGGCATTGTCAGACTTAGATTGTATATAGCATAGGGAAAATTGATTGTATAATGTATATTCATGGATTATTAAATATTTCCTTTTGTGATAAGCCTTTAAATATAGGGCTTAAAATGAATTTTGAACACTGAACTATTTTATTTTTATATAATTGATCAATTATCAAGTGATAGTTTTAAAAATACTTGGTTGTGTTTTGAAATAAGTCTCTAGTTGGTATAGTCTCTGCAATCAACATTTAAATATATGTGATCTAATTCACTTCCAAGTGTTTCCTGAGTACTTACTAATGGACAATATAATACTTCTTAATGAACAATATAAAAGTCCATGTGAGAGAGAGAAAAATACTTTGAGGTAACTCACTCATTTCCCTTCTGAACAGGTTCCCATGGTCTAATGTAACTGGAGAGATCTTGATAGGCACCACAGCTATATTTATAGCTGATTGTGAGAAGGTAGAAATAGGTTTTTGCTTGTTGAAAATGGCATATTATGGAATTAGCAGTCACTTTTTCAGATTATGAAAGATGACATGACATCTTCTATTTGACATTTAAGAATAATAGGGAACACTTGGAGAGTTATGAGAAATGATTACTTTGTACAACTTAATTTTTTTCTGGAAGCATGGGCTCTTTTATCCTTCCTTAACTGCCTCTTCCTTTATATGCTGTTCTTTGCAATACCGTTAATGACTGTGTTCTACAACAGTAGTTGTCAGAGGTGTGGTCTGTGTGTCTCTAGGCATCTCCAAACCGTTTCAAGGAGTCCTTAGGTCAGAACTGTTTCATAATAACCCAAATATTTATAGAACTGCTGTGTACAATAACAGTAGAAACTCCAAATAGTACATTTGTCATTGGTTCTTTACAGTCTCACACTTAGTTGAAGAAAGTCCTTGATGAGATATAATCAGTTATTTCCTTTATTATATCTCAACCATAAAATTCATTTCTTTTTAATATTCTATAGAATTGAAAATATAATGAAGCATTTTAGTTGCAGATCAAACAAGTTTTTCAAAGCAGAATACAAGTGAAAAATTTTGAGTTATGAGGTGAACTAGTTATTTTTCGTGGATCACTATCTTATATATCTGTATTAATTTTTTGAGAATTTAATAACAATTATTTTGTTTATAATCATTCACTTAACCCAACTCATCCCATTTTCACCGTCATTTTCTTACCCACCCAACATCTGAGTTTTTCTTGTTTTTTTTTTTTTTAATCCATGTAATCCAATTTTTGCTGTCCAATTACTCTTATGACTGGGGCGTGTCATAGAGTGTGGTCAGCCTACTAGTGGGCCACTCCATTAAAGAAAACTGACTATCCGTCTTCTAGCAATAAGGTTCTTAAAAATCTAGTGGTGGGCCGGGTGGTGGTGGCACACGCTTTTAATCCCAGCACTCGGGAGGCAGAGGCAGGCGGATCTCTGTGAGTTTGAGGCCAGCCTGGTCTACAAGAGCTAGTTCCAGGA